TCCAAGAAATCAGTCAATCAATCAATCAATCACCTTCAGTGCCAAGAGCGCAATGTTTGCATAGTTGGAGATCTTCATGGCAAATTCACTCTGCCTTTGCTCTTCAAGGTCCAGAGCTTCATCAACTACATTAGGTGTATTCAATGAGTCCACTTCCTCAAAGGATCTTAGGGTTGCAAACTGCTTCTCATAGTATTCCTTTTCCCCTGCAATCGACATGGAAATTAAAACATAGACATTCCACAAGCATTAGAACCTACCAATCAGTGAACGACAGTCTCCAAAACAACACTTTTTAGTTCTTCATACAGAAATAGCAAAAGAGGGATTTCCCAACACCCCAATCCCCTGAGAAATTGAAAGGAAATAAAGTTGAACTCCATCAAAATATCATCAAGAAATACAAGAGACTAGTACGATCAATGCACTTCAATCGGGAATCTCGATCTGAGATTTTGAGAGGGATTCCATTCCATAGATCAATTTATATACTTCAACAAGAAGTTGACCGGTTACCTTAGTCAATCATGTAGGTTAACAAAAGAGACGAATTCTTAAACTATTGCAGCTTACGTCACTCTTGCCATTTTCAACGCCAAGAAAAGAAGAGGGAGGCAAAAGGTCAACCTATTCTGCGATCAAAAGGGGGATAAAGAAAAGCACAAGCTTTTAGCCTATCAAACGTAAGCTACGGATTGCTTCCGACGGGGAAGACGAAAAATGGCTGCTTTGATTCCACAGAAGATGAAAGAAATAAAAGAAACCAAATGGATTACAGGGAAATCACATGTCAAAAACAGAAAACGGAAATGGAGAGAGGAAAAATAAAAAGAAACGCAAGAAGGGATCTTTAAGGGACGGCCCGAACCTTCGAGGAGGTCCCTGGTCCGGGAGACGTCGATGGTGAAGGGACGCTCTGGGTCGACCCCGTGCTTCACCTTCTCCGGCAACCTGGCCACGAACTCGCCCCTCATCGAGTTCACCGAATTCTTACGCGCCACCCGGCGGACGGCGGCCAGCAGCGGCGCCCTCACCTCGTTCTCCTCCTCCGCCCTCCCGTTCTCCCCTCCCGCCATGATCTCTCTGTCACCCACCCACCCACCGCAAAGGCGATCGAGGATCCAAAAACAAGGATAAGAGAGAAGAGGGAGGGACGGATCGGTGTTCGTATATATAGACATGACCAAACGCCCCACCTGACCAACGTACACCGCAAGGCCCGTTTCTTGTCTTTCTCTTGCTATTCTCACGCCGGCTTATCCAACACTTTACTCTCTCTCTCTCTCTCTCTCTCTCTCTCTCTCTTTCTCTCTCTCTAATTTCATGTTAGAAAATTTAGCTTGGGAAGGCCGGTTTCATACTTTCTTCTGTAGCATTTAAAGATTAAATACATCATCAAATTTGACCATCAATTTAAAATATTATCGATGGATGAATGTCTATAGACTAATTAAACTTATTTTTTTTAAAAAATATTAATTATATTAAAATAATATTATTATAATATTTATTATCAATAATTATATTTAGTTTCATATTGACTGATGAACAGAGGAATCAATATCTATTTTTTTAGACTCTCTCGAAGGATAAAATTATAGGTGCATATCCAAATAATAATGATTTAATCAAGAGATTTGGATTTTTCGTAAAGATTTAATTTGAGATGAAATTTGATTGATTTAGGATGTTATAATGAAATTAGCATAAAATATTCATTATATATTACATATTAATACTTATCATTTGCATCATTTTCTCTTTTATATATTTGTTTGTGAATTGATGGAATAGATAAAGAAGATGATGCACAAAGATGAATGAATGTGTTAAGCAATATTAGAATAAAGAGAAAAGGAAGGTCAGAATTAGGCAGCTTACCTTATTTATGTCAATGAACATGGATTGATGTGTTTGAATATTATATAAGCCATGTTGAAGTTTCTCTATTTGGCAACTTTCCATTTTAAAAATATTATGCACAGTAATGCCCAATTTTTTATATTTCATCAATTAGCATCTAAAGTTTTAGTATAATTAAAATGTTATATATATATATATATATATATATATATATATATATATAGAGAGAGAGAGAGAGAGAGAGAGAGAGAGAGAGAGAGATCTAAACCAATGGGTTTGGTTGGTATTGAAAGGGTTGCTGACTTTGTGGCCACACAGAGGCAGGACTGTTTCTAATGGAAGAGAGTTCAGAGGATGATGATGGATGTGACTCGATGTTTGCTACTGCAGTGCTGTCCACAAGAAGGAATGCAGGTGATGTTGGTGTGCATGAATGAAGATTATTGGCAGAAGGCTTTTTATCGCTGCTTCTCTCTTTTGTTTGGATTCAGAATTATTGGCGGATGGACCACCGGAGATGCGGAGGAAACCAAACCAGGCAGGAGGATATCGCTAACGCAATGCTTCTGTGTCGTCCGGAAGCCCGCCGGTGGCGTCCGCGTGACCCACTTTCCGCCTGCGTCGCCACCTGCCGAGATGAGGACAAGGTAGCGTGTTGTGGATTGGATTCGGAATCTTACTTGTCTTGGTAGGAGATGGCCACAACGCCTTCGATTTGGTTCCTCGCCGGTGATTGATTAGTGTGGTGGACTATCAGCTGTTAGAATCATCGTGCTTACGGAAACACAGATGCAGAGTTTCCAAGTAAGCCATCCGATCCTCTGTTATGTCGTCTGTTCGCCGCGGGGAAGAAGACAACTTGTCGGAAAGATATTTTTTGCTCTCGCCTCGAGAGAAGAAGAGCTTCGGTAAAGAAACCCGTATCGTATGATCCAAACCCTCGATTCCATCAACCGTTCCTTCTTCTTCCTCTGTTGTGGTGAGGTACGAACGGTACCCCCACAGCGGCCTCTGTTTGCATGTGAAGGTTAGTGCAGAGGACATCAATGGCCATCCCTGTTCTACACTCATCTTTTAATATCTATAGTAATATAACATTAGATGATTTTTTTTCCTGAAAAATCTCTCTTTTTTAGCTTTTTTATATTTACAGTAATATAATCTAAGGCGTTTAGAAGTGATAAATGAGAATATAAAAATAAATTATAGATCAGAGGAACCAGAGTGTCACAATGTGACAAAGAAATGTCATTGATGTCGATAAAGAGTGGGGTAATCCAAAATTTATGGGTCTTTGAGGTAATAGCATGGTAGAATTTATAGACAACGATGATTGGATTGGCAATGACCATAAGAGAGATGCCTATGATGATGCATGGACGGACGAAGTAACGGATGAGATTGTGTGAGTGGTACCTAACACGATGGGTCATACAAGAGAAGACGGGTGGGAAGCCCCGACCACTTCATTTTCCTTTATCAAGATCAACAATCATGATACATGAGGAGGGTCTAATGACTAATGTGATGGAAAGCGATGGAATAATAAGTAATGATGAGAGATATTTATAGAATTATAAGAAATATGAGCACCATTCGAAAAAATAATAATCAAAGGCCACCTTACAAAATAAAATCCTTTTTTATTTTATTTTTTACTTAAAGTAAAATTATTTTTTTTCTCCGTTAGTTAGTGGTTCGAGTTTTGTCGAATTGAAAATCAGAATCAAATAGGTTCCAAGCGATTCTAGTTCTGAATTAATATCGCATATTCAATATTTTTTATTTAAATATTTTTAATATTCTAGTTTTTTATTTTTTATTACGTATTTAGGATCAAATTATTAGAATTCAATTATAGTTCGATTAAGCGATTATTGGATTCGAATGAAATCGTGAAGGCATCTAATTCCAAGGAGAGAAACCTTAATATCAAAAGAAGAATTAAATGAATTAATAATAAAAATATAGATGCTAAACATTGAGTATAAGATTTATGTGGCCTGATTTTTCTTATCTGCATTTACAAGACAACTAAACTTTTTTATCATATAAACTTAATGAAATAGAACTAATAAAATTCTCACCTGAGTTAGATGAAACACAAACTCAAACCAATTGAAACTTCAAACAACTTTGCTCTTAACCTCTTTAAATCTGCTATAAAAACACAAATCCTAAGAGTACTCAAATCAAAACATTGTATTCTTCGTTCAATTTGATTGTATTAGAGATCCATATATCCAAATAATAAAGGCAGTAATAAATTGGGACTGTTTTAGATCCTATAGATAGTGGTGAAGACAAGACTGATTCCACCACCTCTTAAGACTAAAAATTCCTTCTCATACCAAAACTTTCAATTTCAATCTCTGTTCTTCTTTGTTTTTTGTCCTCCAATTTCAATCTTCTTCCAGAAGATGTCATTCGATTTCCTTCAACAAAACCACATATCTAATCATGAATGTGAACCGTGGAATTTTTTCTGTCAATGTTTTTTCTTCCTTGTTTGATTTTATTTTTTATTAATGAAATTACCCACATATATATATATATATATATATATATATATATATATATATATATATATATATATATATATATATATATAAAACAAAAATTAAAATAATATATATTTTTTTCTCAATATAATTTATTTTCCTTTGTTTGATTTTAATAAAAATAAAAATAAAACTTATTTACGTCGCCTGAGAGATTCGAACTCTCGCGGGGAAACCCCATGTACTTAGCAGGCACACGCCTTAACCACTCGGCCAAAGCGACGAATGTGTTACGTTACCCTAAATTTTTTATATAAATCTTTAATTATAATAGGAGATTTCCACACAGTTTTCTGTGGGACTATTTCTTGCAGACTAAGCACAGCTAGATCTGGTCAACGCATGACGCCAGTCAAATCTTCTCGTATCGCATGGTCAAATCTATGCCCACGTAAGACGTCTCGGAATGTTCTCGCGTTCCACGTTTAGGAACCGGATCAGAAGCTACAGATCTCGTCTTCACGTGCTCGTTTCCCTCGCCAATGCCGTGCACGTTTCATCCTCGCGTCCGCCATGGTTGGCACCTCCACCGCCGGGTAATGATGACGAACAAGTCAAGGATTTGACTTGGAGAAAGGCTATATTACTGGGCTCGACCGCCTTTGCCGGCTGCAGAACTCCCATCGTTGCGATCCTCCTCGGTATGGCCCCCGCCATGGACGAATTCTCCTCCGGCCTCAGTGATGTGCTTATGAAGGTGATCATCTTCGCACTCGTTCAAGCGCTGGTCTACCTCATCCTCACCAAGTCCTCCGACGTCTTCTCCACCAACAGGATGAGGTCCCGCAGCTTCCGGCCGGCCCGGACGGTGAGCGTCCGCCGCTGGCTGGCCTTCCTCTCCGACATGCCTCCCGGCGGCGAGGCCTCGCCATCGTCGTCGTCCTCCTCGCGGTCTCCTCGGGATGATTCCTCGCCGGTCCACCGCAGAGATTAGCTTGTTCTCGAGGAGATGCGGATGCCTGTGGTGTTGCTGTAATTATGATTCGTTCCTGCGTTTTGATGTTTGATGTTTGATGTTTGATGTTTGATGTTGTTGATCTCTTGCTGTAATGATGCTTAGACTTGGATGATAATATTATGAGATGAAGAACCAGATTTTACGTGAAAAGCACTATGTGATCTGTCTGTGTGCGTGTGTGTGTGATGAGGTAATAATTGCGATAAGACTCAGCTGTATATTAACACCCTGCTCAGGCTCGATCCCCCACGCCATACAACGGTAATGTCAGACGCTACTAGAAGTACGATCCCGCTCCCTACGGGCAGGCACATCATGCAACGGTAATTTTTACTATAAAAACCCTTACGCTGTGAGGAGCAAGGGGGGAAAAAATCTACTCATCTCGAGACTAACTGGATCGTCGGAGGGGTCGGGCCGAGCTCCCCGCCTCGACCTTTATGCAGGTACGAAGGCCGAGGTCTCTCACAAGAACGCCTAGGCGAGGAGCCCCCTGTCCCGAGAAGACGGCGACCTCGTCCCGACCAGGCTATCGTAATCGACCGTCTCAGCAGTCCCAAGAAACGTCTCAAGAAGATCCCCCATCATCCGGACCCGGACCAAGTCGCGTCGGCCCCGAGGCCACGGCTTAAGGTTGTTTACACTAACATTTTTGGCGCTAGAAGGAGGGCCCCGATGTCGGGGATCATCAGATTGGCTCAGACGAACCCGCGGATGGGGCACCACACCCGATCGGAGCTCCAAGGGAACACCCCTCGCGGGGAGAACCTCATGACGAGCACCCCGCCACAACTTCATAGCGCTATTGGCGGATATTCAACGATCCGGGCTTGTCGCCGCCCGACGACGCCCCCGCCGACCCATCACCCGTGTCGTCCGAGGCCTTCCAGGATCTCACCCATTAAGTCCGAACTCTGACTGGTATCATGCAATCCATTATTCCCTTTGTTTCTCGCTCGTTGCACTCCCCGGCCGTCCAACCATTGCGGTAACATGAGCCACACATTCAGGCTCCCGCATCACCTCGGGAGCTCCCCGCCTCGCCTCGGATCCCGTCATCCCCACCCGGAGGTCGAGCGATGGCCGACCCAAGAGGCCGCTCGGAACCCGAGGCATTGTCTTTGGATCCTGCAGATTCCCTGCGAGTCCAGTTGCACTTCGTCAATCAGCATCTCGACGATGTGCAAAAGGAGGTCTGTAGGTCAAGGGGAGAGTTTGGGGAGGATGCACACTAGGGATCCCCGTTTACGCCCGAGATACAAGACCATACAGTCCCCCCAAACTTCCGACTCCCCTCCCTGGAGGCTTACGACGGTTCCACTGACCCAGCGGACCACGTAATCGCTTTTCGTGCCCAGATGGCGCTATACGGGACCTCCGACGCTCTGATGTGCAGAGCGTTCCCCACCACGCTGAGAGGCTCGGCCTGTGCGTGGTACAACGGCCTGAAAACTGGAGCGATTGCTTCCTTCGACCAGCTCATCAAGGACTTTGAGCTCCACTTCGTGGCCTATTCCCGGGCGAAGCCTTCCGTGGCGCTCCTCGGACTCAATCAGAGGGAGGACGAGCCCCTCTCCAGTTTTGTAAACCGTTTCGTAGCGCAGATCCGGGGACTTCCGGACGCTCACCCCTCCCTGTTGATGCAGGCGTTTATGATGGGCTTGCATCCTTCTAGGTTCTTCTGGTCCCTCGTGGAGCGACCCCCCACCACGGTGCCCGAGATGCTCCACCGCGCGAACCAGTTCGTCGCGGCCGAGACCTGGATCGTCGGAAAGCGGGAAGAACACAAGAGGGGAAGGCCGGAGCAGGCTCGGGGACAACAACCTCCCACGCCAAGGCGCAGGCTGGACCGACCTGACCCTCCAACGTTAAGGCCTCCCGTACCCTCTTTGGCTGCATCCCGAACGAAGATATTTCTCCAAATAAGGGAAAAAGGGCTGCTCAAGGCTCCCGTCCCGATGAAAAGCCCACGGGAGTTAGCTGACCGGTCCAAGTATTGTCGCTTCCACCGGCAAATCGGACACAATACTGAAGAATGCCGCGAGCTGAAGCGACAGATTGAGAAGCTAGTCCGCAGAGGACACCTCAGTCGGTACGTCCAACAGGGTAGGGAATCATCGTCCCATCCCGAGGGTCCCGTTGAGCGCCACATCGATGTCATCACAGGCGGCCCAGCGTCCGGTGGGATCAGCATGTCCGGAAGGAAGGCATATGCCCGCTCAGCTAGGGATGACACTCCCCGACGCGGCCCCGACCCTCAGGTCGCGTTTTCCCCCGAGGTTGCTGAGCGATCGGAGCACGATGATGCGCTCGTAATAATGGCTCGAATCGCCAATGCCCAGGTGAGGAGAATCATGATTGATACGGGAAGCTCGACTGACGTGCTGTATTTTGACGCTTTCCAGAAGCTGGGGCTAGCCAAGGTGGCCTTGGAACCTATCTGCTCAGTGCTCACTGGGTTCACTGACGACTCAATCTCACCCTTGGGAGTCGTCACTTTGCCCCTAACTCTAGGAGCACCGCCCAGAACAAAGACGATGATGTCCACCTTCCTAGTGGTGGATCTCCCTATGGCATACAACGCCATCCTTGGTCGCCCCACCCACCACAAAATCAGGGTCGTAGTATCCACCTACCACCAGACGGTGAAGTTCCTGACCCATGCGGGAACTGGGGAAGTTTGGGGAAGCCCTCGAGAGTCCAGACAATGCTACCTGATGGCGATTTCACTACACAAAAGGGCGAAGATCGACCAACCCCCGGAGGACCCAAGAAAAAAAAAGGCGGCCGGACCCACATCCCGAGCCGGCAGCCCCCACCTGTGACGTCCCGCTGCTAAAGGATCGTCCAGACCAGACGATCAAGGTCGGGTCGAAACTACCCGAACAAGAGCGGGAACAGCTCGTTGGCTTCCTACAAGAAAACGCCGACGTCTTCGCTTGGTCGCCATCTGATATGACGGGCGTTGATCCAAACACCGCCCAACATCACCTCAACATATCACCCAAAGCTCGATCGGTGAAGCAAAAACCACGACACCAGGCCCTGGACAGACAACAGGCTATCCGCGAAGAGGTGGAGCGACTCCTAGCAGCTGGTTTCATAGAGGAAGCCAAGTACCCGCAATGGTTGTCTAATGTAGTTCTGGTGAAGAAACACAATGGGAGCTGGAGGATGTGTGTTGGCTACACCAGTCTCAATCATGCATGCCCAAAGGACTGCTATCCGCTCCCCAGGATCGATCAGCTGGTCAACGCGACTGTCGGGCATGCCCGCCTTTTGTTCATGGATGCCTTCTCCGGCTACAACCAGATCCGGATGACGCCCGAGGACCAGGAACACACGGCTTTCCTCACCGATTTAGGAGTATATTTCTACAAAGTAATGCCATTCGGGTTAAAGAACGCGGGCGCAACCTATCAGAGAGCCGTAAACAAGATGTTTGCCCAACAGATAGGGCGGAACGTCGAGGTCTACGTCGACGACATGATCGTGAAAAGTCGTGCGGCGGCAGACCACCTGACCGACTTGACTGAAACATTTGCCACATTGCGAAGCTATGGCCTGCGACTCAACCCGGCGAAGTGTGTCTTCGGTGTCAACTCGAGAAAGTTCCTCGGGTTCATCGTACATGAAAGAGGAATCGACGTCGATCTAGAGAAGGTCCAAGTGATCATCGATATGCAAGCCCCTCGGACAATCAAGGACCTACAGCGACTGAACGGGAGGCTCGCTGCCTTGTCTCGGTTCCTATCCCGATCGGGTGACCGCTGCCTCCCCTTCTTTCGGGTGCTAAAAAACCCGAAGGACTTCCAATGGACGGCGCAGCATGAGGAACCTTTCGGGCAAATCAAACGACACTTGGCCAACCTCCCCCGCCTTGCCTCAGTCTCTTTGGGGGAAAATCTTAACATCTACTTGGCTGCCTCCCGGCATGCGGTCAACTCTGTCCTGATCAACGAAACCTCCGGCGAACAATTACCGGTCTACTACGTCAGCCATGTCCTGAAGGGGCCTGAGGAGCGATACCCATCAATTGAGAAGCTAGCTCTGGCGCTCATACTTGCAGCCCGGAAGCTGCGTCCCTACTTCCAAGCCCATCCGGTCGAGGTAATCACCGACCAACCACTCAGACAGGTTTTATCTAAATTCGGCGTTGCAGGTCGGCTCCTCAAGTGGTCGGTGGAGCTTGGAGAGTTCGACATACGTTACGCACCAAGGACCGCCATCAAAGCACAGTCGGAGGCCGACTTCATCTCGAAACTCGTCCAGACTGAAGACCAGGTTCCCGGAACTCGTCCAGACTGAAGACCAGGTTCCCGGCCAACCTAGAGAAGCATAGATCCTACACGTGGATGGCTCGTCCACCTCGAGTGGGGCCGGCACAGGACTAGTGCTATCGGCCCCCGACGGGCGCTTGTTTGAGCGCTCCCTCCGCTTCGGGTTCCACGCAACCAACAATGAATCCGAATACGAGGCACTCCTAGCTGGGCTCAGACCGTCCCATGAGATGCAGGTAGATGCCATCTACGTCCTCACCGACTCGCAGCTGGTAGCCGAGCAACTCAGCGACGGATACGAGGCCAGGGAACCAACCATGGTGAAGTATCTAGCAAAGGTAAAAAGCCTAGCCTCCAATTTCTCCTACTTTACGGTGCCAAGGTGTTAGAACGAGCGAGCCGACGAGCTGGCTAAGTTGGCCTCAAAGTTAGACTCCGGAGCCCACTCCGAGATCGAACGGCTCCCCTCCCGCACCATCTCAGTCTTGACTATGTCTCCGGTCGACGCTCGTACCACATAGGTGCAGGAGATGCTGCGCTTTAAGCGTGATGGGATCTTTCCCACCGACGAGGCTTCGGCTCAGCGCATCCGCCGAACGCAGGCATGGTACTCCGAGGTGAACGGGCGGCTCTACAAACGGTCCTTCTCGCACCCCCTGCTATGGTGCCTCGGGCCTGAAGAGGCTCACACAGTCCTAGCCGAGGATCATGAAGGAATTTGTGGAGAACATATTGCCGGTCATACCTTGGCCTACAAAATCCTCCGCCAAGGGTACTATTGGTCCACCATGGTCCGAGACGCAAAACCTTACGTGCAGAAGTGCGGCCCATGCCAAAGGCATGCCCGAACACCCCGGCAGCCTGTAGTCCCGCTCGCCCCCATTGACTGCGCATGGCCATTCGCGCAATGGGGACTGGACCTCCTCGACCCCTTCCCCCCGACCTCGGGGCAACGAAGATATATTGTAGTGGGGGTAGACTACTTCACCAGATGGCCCAAGACCGAGCCGCTAGCAATGATCGCGGAACGATAGGTGGAGAAGTTCGTCTGGAAAAATATCGTGACTCGGTTCGGTTTGCGCAGAGCCATCGTCACAGACAACAGATCCCAGTTCGCCAGCACAAGGTTCCGGGAGTTCTGCGCGAGCTATGGGATTCAGCTGATGTTCACCTCAGTGGCCCACCCCCAAACGAATGGGTTGGCTGAGGTAACCAACCGATCTATTTTGGACGGACTTAGGAGGAGAGTGACGGCGGCCCAATCGGCTTGGGTGGAAGAGCTCCCCAGTATCTTATGGTCCCTCCGGACCACCTCCAAAATCATGACCGGAGAATCCCCCTACAGCCTCTCATACGGGACCGAGGCCATCCTGCCCCCCGAAGTGGTTTTCCCTACCCCTCAAGCGGAGAAATACGACGAAGAGGCGTCTGCCCGAGGACTACGGGCCGGCCTCGATCTGATCGAAGAACGACGTGCTGATGCGCACCTGAAGGACCTCTCTTACAAGAGGGCTGTCGCGAGAATCTATAATCGCAAGGTACGCCCCCGACCAATTAAATTGGGCGACCTGGTCCTACGCAGGATTGAGGTCGGTGACCCGACTCGGACGCACGACAAACTTGTCGCTAACTGGGAAGGGCCTTACCGGGTTATTGACGTCGTCCGGCTCCGCACGTATCGGCTTGCAACCACAGAAGGCTGCCCTTTGCCAAGGACGTGGAACGTGCGAAATCTCAAGAAGTTTTTTGTATAGTCAAAAGCAAAGTAGAAGTCCGAACAAAAACTTTCTATTTAAATTGAAGTCAGATTACAAGACCAGACCGACGTTGGACCAACCAGGACGTTTTATTACAAGTATCCCTAGCCACTAGAGCCCTCAACGCTATCATCAAAGGGGACCTCATCCGGCATGTCCACGTCTCGGTCCTCGGGGAGTGAGACGAAGGGGTTCTCTTCGACCTCCAATCCGGGGTGGCGCGTCCTGAATCGACCTAGAGCGATCCGATACCCGTATTCGTACATGACCTGCCCCGATCGGACCAGCCCAAGCTGGAAGCCCGAGGACTGTTTATAGTCCTCGATTAGCTTCTTGTCCTTTTATGGCCGCAGGTCCCGTTCGGCGGCCAGGGCCTCAGAAGCAGCCTTCACCTCGGCTTGGGCCCCCTCCAGTTTCTTTGTAAGGGCAGCCGCCTCATTCCGGGTTAGACGTGCCTCGGTCCGAGTCACCCTTAGGACCCCCTAGAGCCCTTCGTGTTGCTCGCCGGCCACCTTCGCCTCAGACTTGAGGCATAGGATCTCCGCTTCTAGCGTCGAGATGCACTGATCGGCCGCCGTCGCCTCAGATTCAAGGCGCGTTACCTTCGCCTCCAGCTCCGAGGAGCGCTGCTCAATCGCTGCGATCGCCTCTGGGGCCGCTCCGGCGCGCACCTCCTCGATCTCCCTGCGCAGCTCGGCATTACATTCGCATAGGATGTCGAGGGCCCAACCTGCGTCGCGCACGCGGTCCGCCAACACCATAGTATAATGTTGGCCCTGAAAAAATAAATAATAAACAAAACGTGAGGACAAAAAGCCTCCCGAGCATAAGTGAAGGTCCAAGGGTGGGACACTTACCCACAGCAACGACTTGGCAGATTTACCAAGCAGAACATTTGAGGGCATGGTGTACAGCTCCCGAGCCATATCGGGGTGAAGCCCGCCTCGGACAAACTCGGCCGCAGCCTCTCCGTCTGCCCACACCAGGGTCCCGCGGGTCAGTCCCGCCCACCGGGCCTCCAACGGGTCTGAGGGTCGGCCCTTTGGAAGCTCACCCATCACACGAGCCTGGTAAGACTCGTTCTGCGCCCCCACCGGGAGACGACACAAATCGCGGATGGAAGGCTCTCGGGGCGCCTTCCCTGCCCCCACGTTGCTTGGCCCTGCCTCCTCTCGGCCAAGCCCCCGTTGCCGGTCGCGCGCGCCCGGTTTAGCCGCGACCTCCCTTGGTCGAGTCGCCGGCGGATTTGGTTTCTTTGAGGCGGCGATCTTGGCCTTTTTCCGAGGACGGCCAGCCTCAATCTCCACCGGTGCCTCTTTTGTGTCGATACCCAGGTCGGCCGGAGGACGCGGCGAAGAGGTCGACGAGGACCGCCCCCCGCGCACAGCAATGAGGTTCACCATCTCTGCATATGGATGTCGACAAAAATTAGGATCCCAAAAACTCAAAACCCTGCCACTATCCGCTAAAGGCATACCTCGAGGCATCAGGCTCAGACCTGCCTTGACCAGCCATGCCTCGGTCATCTCCCGGATGACGTGGGAGGCTGGAAGGATCTCCTTAAGCCTTTGAAGGGCCTTGCGCTCCTCGCTGTTTAGGGTTGGGGCGGTATTGCCGATCACACGTGCCGCCCACTGGAGCCCGAAGCTCCAGCCCTCTGGATGACATACGTAGAAGAAACGCTCATTCCACCCTTTATTACTGGAAGGAGCCCTGATAACCCGGAAGCCCGGTCGTGCGGACAGATAATAACCCCCCGACCCCTTTGAGAGACAGAAGCAGGAAAGAAAGAGGGCCCCGCTCGGGGTAACATTCGCGTAAGGACACTCCCCTAAAAACGCCACTAGATAGCGCCAGGAGTTCGGCGCTATCTGAGAAGGAGAAATGCACCACCACGAGACGCAAGAACTTATGACTGGGTGAAGAGGGAGGCGCAACCCAGCCTCAAAGACATCCTAGGTCAGGGCGAAACCCTTTGGGATAGGGTCGTACGCTCGTTGCCCCGGCTCCGGGGCGATGAGAGAAAATTCCTCCGGGATACCATAGCGACCCCGGAGGTGGCCGAGTGACGACTCGCTCACAGTGGAGTCGAGATCGTGCGGCCACATTAACGACTCAAGGGCTCGAGCAGCCTTCTCGTCGAGCGATGAGTGGGGGCTCGCCGGCAACGTCTTCTCTACGACATCCCCAGAAGTGGAAGGCGAGGAAGACAAAGAAGGAGGAGAAGCCATCCTTACCAAGTCTTAGAAGGGGGAGTGGGACGATCGATGGGTCCTAAACCGAACGTCCGGGGAGACAATCGAACAAATGCAAGTAACAAGGCGTGCGGTAAGCCGACTGCACCCTATTTGAAGGCCAGATCCCTCCAAAACGGCAACCCTTCCTCTCCCAGAGCACGTTGCGTCAAGAAGACGGGACGTCACTTCACCATAAATATGGTCTGACGTGGCAACCCACCGGCGCATGGCACGAATCCTGAAGCACTCATCTTATCGGCCTCGAAAACTGGCGACTCCCAAAAGTGACGACCCCTTCAGCTTCCCTAGGAAGCAACCCATCTTCCCGCATCTCCGCGTCGCTGGGCGGTGGATTGCTGATCACAGACCAAGTGGCTCCTCGGCAGCATGTTGCCCGAGACCACACCTGCGCGGCCTGCCCGCCTGCATTGTGCTCCTCGGCTACATGTTGCCCGAGACCACACCTGCGCAGCCTGCCCGCCTGCGTCGTGCACCTCGGCTACATGTTGCCTGAGACCACACCTGTGCGGCCTGCCCGCCTGCGTCGTGCTCCTCAGCTACGTGTTGCCCGAGACCACACCTGCGCGGCCTGCCCGCCTGCGTCGTGCTCCTCGGCTACGTGTTGCCTGAGACCATACCTGCGCGGCATGCCCGCCTACGTCGGCCCCTCGGCTTCATGCTCCCCGAGACCACGACCCCCGCTCAGCCTGCTCCTCTGGGGTATGCTCCTCGGCCGCACACTACCCGGGATCACCGCTGCACATCCGACCCTTCAAAGACGAAGCCATGCCTCGGACCCCCCCATTTACGGCATGACTTCCTTCGGGGGGGGGGGGAATATGATGAGGGTAATAATTGCGATAAGACTCACGTGACATCAGCTGCATCAGGTGATGCATTTCGCCCCTTTCAACCTGGTGAGCCACCCGGTCAACGTGGACCGGAACGCCTGCCGAGGCACATTAACACCCTGCTCAGGCTCGATCCCCCACTCCACGCAACGGCAATGTCAGACGCTACCAGAAGTACGATCTCGCTCCCTATGGGCAGGCACATCATGCAACGATAATTCTTACTATAAAAACCCTTACACTCTGAGGAGCAAGGGGGGAAAAAAATCCACTCCTCTCGAGACTAACTGGATCGTCGGAGGGGTCGGGCCGAGCTCCCCGCCCCGACCTTTGTGCAGGTACGAAGTCCGAGGTCTCTCACAAGAACGCCTAGGCGAGGAGCCCCCTGTCCCGAGAAGACGACGACCCCGTCCCGGCCAGGCCACCGTAATCGACCGTCTCAGCAGTCCCAGGAAACGTCTCAAGAAGATCTCCCATCATCCGGACCTGGACCAAGCCGCGTCGGCCCCGAGGCCACGGCTTAAGGTTGTTTACACTAATACTGTGCAAGAACAGGATGTCGTCAAAGACCATCCAAGATCTTCATGCTTGGTTCATATCCAGCAGGGATTTCTCTGAAACATGAGGCGAACACAGATTTGATGCTCTGATTCCCCCACTCCAATCTCTCCCACCACCCTCTCTCTCCAAATATCATCCTCAACTTCTCTGCACTCTTTGCTCCCAAGGGAAGCTGCTTCAGCTCCGAACAGTTGTACACGAGAATCCTCTCCAGACCAGGGAATGGCAATGCGTGATCTTTAATGCTCACCAACTTCTTCAGGTCGCGAAGATAGATGTATCTGAGATTGGGTAATGGGGTTCCGATCTTCTCTGCTTTTTCCTCCTCCATCACGCGCTCCATTTCGTCACAGTTCTGTACGTAGAGTTCTTGGAGGAGTGGAAGATGCAAAATCCATGTGATGTTCTTGAGGCTGTTGCAGCAGAGAAGGGATAGAAAGCGAAGGTTAGGGAGGCAAGCATGAGGTGGAACACCTCTCCAGATGACCCTTTCTAGCTCCGGGAGGCACACCAAATTGAGAACCTCTAGCTGATGCAGTCTCCAATTCGGAGCGTCATCAGCCTCCTCTCCCATGACCAATTCCTTCAAGCACCGACTGGATTCGACCGTGAGGTTTCTGAGCCTCCCCATCTTGTTTCTGCTGAGCAGTGCCGGCAACAGATGGAGAGAGATCAAGCCTCGCAGCTCTCTGATGGTCAGGGAGTGCGTCGATACATGGCTTATGCTGAAAAGCCTGAGCAGAGATGGAATGTTCCTCACGGTGAATCCGACAGACCTTAGTTTTGGCAAGGACACCAGCTCTTCGAAGGTTATGCCACGGTGACCACGCACCGAAAGCCAATTCCAGTTCGCGAAGCCACTCATGTACAGGTTCAGTACCTGCAACATTCCCAGGCTTGAGATCACTCCACGAGGAATCGTCCTGAGCTCCGTCGTTCCCTCCAACTCCAAATGCCTCAAGCTCGTCAACTCTCGGATCTCCTCCGGCAAGCACGCGATTTTTGTGTACGAAAGATCGAGGAACTGCAAGTTCACCAATGTGCCAACCTCTGCAGGGAGGCGCAAGATGCCAGTGTGAGACAGATCCAAGTACCTCAGAGCTATCATGCAGGGAAACAGTCCATTTGGGATCTTGGAAAGACGCTTGTTTCCTCGGAGGATCAAAGATTGGAGGTCGGGGCAATTGCATGAATCAGGGAGTGCTGCAATGTCCTTGAACATGAGGCATATCGTCTCTGCTCTGCTCCACTCATCCCATCCTGTTCGACCACTGCTGTTGGCTCCCACCGACCATTTGTTTCTGCTGCTCCCTTCCTCAGAAGCAATCCATGAGGCCATCTCTCGAACAACATCGTGCATCTCCAGACGACTGTTGCTCCTTTCGCTGTTCTTCAACAAGGACGAAGCTTTCAGGGTTTCGATCATGGCGTTCCCGATGTTATAAGCTTCATTGATGTCATCGAAATGGTGTGTTGATCCCAGACCCATCCAAGACCTGATGAGGTTTTCCTTCGACATGTGATAGCCTTCGGGCCACAAAGAACATGACGAAAAGCACTGTCTCATCCTATGATCTCTCAAGCTTCCGCAGCTAACGTGCAGAAGAGCGAGCGATTCATCCTCTGCACTTGAGATTTCATGGAGCGGCGAGGTTTTGATCGACGAGATCACGCTTTGCCACTCCTCAGCCGTCTTCTTTGCGGCCATCGCCGACCCCATCGTGACAAGAGCAAGCGGCAAGCCGCGGCACTCCTTTGCGAGCGTGACCGCAAAGCTTCGGATTCTTTGATCTCCCACGGTATCCTCGCCGACCGTGGATTTGAATAGGTTCCACGCCTCCTCCCACTTCAGGCATTCCAAAATGAGGATCTTGTAAGCTTGCATTCTTCCAGCGATGTCCACCAGCCGCGTCGAGATCATCAGCTTTTGCTTGCGTCCGATGGCGCTGTCGCTCGACGGTTGCGGGATTCCAACCTTTGCCAGTTCCAGAGGTGCCCAAAGGTCATCCAACAGCAGCAAGAAGCTCCTCGCCTTCAGGAAGTCGAAGATGGCGGCAGCTCGGACGACCTCGCTATCGTCGGCGTTGAGGAGCAATCCGACCTCGTATGCTATGGCTCCCTGGAGCTTCTTGATATCGGGATCTTTACCGACCACAGCAAGCATCACATGATCAAACTCGGTTCTTGCAGCGCTGCCGCAGAACTGGTTGTTGATGCTCCTCAAGAGGGTGGTCTTACCGACGCCCCCTGTGCCATGTATCCCCACCACGCCTACTGCATCATCTGCAAGGTAACCGAGGGCCGTCTTCAGGTACACCTCCTGTCCAACAATGGGATTCGGCACGGGCAACTCCCTGGCTGGACCAGGGGGCAACCTCTCAGCGACAATGAAGACGTCTCTTGCTGTTCTTAGAGTCGGCATCTCCGCCGCATCCACGTTGTCGGTACCTCTGCTTCTGGGAGAGACAGGAGGCAATCTTACAGTCACATCGTCGTCATCTTTTCTGCTCTGATGATGCTTATAGGCCGATCTCTTGCTGCTCTTGCATGTGCACCAGCAGCTCTTGGAGCAACAACCGGCGAGGCACTTCTTCTTCTTCTTCTTCTTCTGCTTGCTACTCTGGCCCTCGAAGACGCCGGCGGCAGCTTTCGAGCTGTCGGAGGTTCTGGCGCAACCTTCCATAGCCGGAACCACCTTCGAGAACCACTTCTTGACGGCGCGTTTCCGTGGTTCTGCTTTGGTACCTCTCATTCTGCGGAGGACGTACGTCGTTCCTCGACGCTCGCGAGAGATGTGCTTCTGAGCCGGAACGGACAATCTCCGACCAGCTCCTCAATCGGATTCCATACGCCACTAGCAGAAGGGCCGATGACGGGAGAAGAAAACGGAACGAACTCAATTGTCAGCTACGTAAAGACAGGATAACTCATCAAGGATCGACATCGAAGCAGCAGAGATCGAGGAACAATGCTGGGGTGGTTTGAGGACAAGAAGGACAAAGACAGCAGGAGGTCATGGTTGACCTTTTCCTTGTTTCGTGAAGGTCAACCCTCAGGGTAGTGGGCAACACAACACAGGTAAACTTCTCCTCGGGCTAATGACATGCAGGCAATTGCTCCGACGTTGAATTCAAGGATGTCATGCGAAGCACAACTTTTCAGACGTTGACTAAAGAAAGAACAAAAGGTGACCATTGCACATCTTGATTTAAGTATGGTCGATTCACGATGGAAGACGAATACTCTGCGTTCTCAAAAGAGAGAATATAGTTCAATTCAACCACCTTATTCTTAATTGCGACAGAAATATTAATTGGGACATTACGGTATTATTGTATGTTATAATTGTCATTAAATGCATGCGTTTAAGTGCTTCGCATGTCTAATTTGTCTAATACATTGGTCACTCAATTTATTCGATGTGGGTGTTCCACCAAGTTCTTGACGAAGTGGTTGCAGAATCAATTTCCTTTGATATGATCCATTCACGAAATTTCAATTAATTTTCAATTTAATCCCTATAATAAATTAAGCATATGAGAAAACTTATTAAATTATTCTTATAAATATTTTAAAGGCCAATATGATTAAGATGTATTGGATAATCGACTTTTTCTTACCAATAAATGTCGATTAAGGATATATATATATATATATATATATATATATATATATATATATATATATATATATATATATATATAT